CCCCACCAGCACTTATGCAGCTACCCAGATACACGAACTTCTCGACTACGTCTGTCTGCTCACCATCCAGGGTGAGTACAGGATTAGAATCCTGCCAGTCTTGTAGAAGTACTTTGCACTTCGAAGGTGCAAAGCACATACCATACCTACGGACACTGATTGCCAACTGATTAAGTGCGGATTGCATGCCTTGGGCATTATCGCACAGTAAGACAATATCGTCCGCATACTCAAGGTCGAGAAGTCTTTCTCCAGGCAACAGATCCACACCCTTCTTCAATAGACAATCCCAGAGAACAGTCCCATCCAACTCACACCAGATTTCTTGCTGCCAGTGGCTCGGATGAGTTGGAAGAGCTTCCGGTAGTTACCAGATGCAGCTGCTGCTTCCAGCTCATTAGCACGCTTCGACTGCCAGGCTTCTCAGTCCTTACGCAAGCTTTGTCCAATTTCCTTACGTAACATCCTTCGTTTATGGTCAAACGCACGGTCAGGTGGCACATCGGCGAAAGTTAGTGCTAGCCAGAAACAGGTTGTGGTCTGTGCAAAGTTGCAGTAGACGGTCCACGTTACATGACCTGCGACCAACGAGTCCCCATCGGCCACCTAAACGACTCTCTTCTGTGCCTAGACGCCCGACCTGAGCATTCAAGTCTCCGGCTAGTACTACAATATCTGTCGAACGCACTTTCTGGAGAAGAACAGATAACTGGTGGTAAAACTCATCCTTGATTACATCCGGGCTGCAATCTGTCGGGGCATAGGCGGAGATGACGAAAAGACATCGTTTCTCACGCCGATTTCTTCTCACTTTGATGGAACTTTCCAATCTAACAGCACATAACCGACTGTTAATGGGGATCCAATTGACTAGTGCTGCCTCAGCTCTAGCGCTTAGTGCGACACCAACGCCAGCAAGACCAGACGAAGATGCTACAGGGTCCCCGGATAAGCGCACGTAAAACAAGCTTCTCGAAGCGACAGATGGAGATCGAATTTGTAGTACTTCGCCAGAGTCTTGAATACGGGTCTCGGATAGACAACAAACATCAATATTAAGACTTTCCAAAGACATAGCCAGCCCTATCTGTTGTCCGACCTGCATAAATGTGCGAACGTTGAAGGCAGCCAGTTTGAATGGTGCACGTGGTTTCAGAAAAACTGCTTCAGTTCTCGAATTCGGTGGTAACATACAATTTTCAACCGGACAGTGACTCGAGAACGTTTAGATACAGTCGAATTTCCACCAAAGACGAGCCGCTGTATAAGTATAAAAGAGGGTGAATAATGTGGAAAATAATAATAATAATAATAATAATAATAATAATAATAATAATAATAATAATAATAATAATAATAATGACAATAATAGTAATAATAATAGTATCAATAATGACAATAATAGTAATGATAATAGTATCAGTAATGACAATAATAGAAGTGATAATTATTTGAATCGATTGATTGTTTTTCGGAGCGAGAAAAGTAGTTGCCATAGACATAGAGAGTTCATCATTTGTGTGTAGGCTGTGATACTGCTCGGGTGCCCAAACCGAAGCAGGTGGCTATCTTAGGGGGCCACTCCCCGAGCCTTTGAACTAAAGGTCTGATCCACAAGGCAGTGGAGCATCGTAAGGAGATGTAGTTCCATGGTAGCCGGTGACCAACAATTGGTTCATACGCCATTTGTTCCCTCAGGATACTGGAGCCCATGTGGACCATTGGTTTGTGATCCGGTTAAAGCGCCGGACATCCGCTTTTCGTCCTCTCATTTTCGTAAACAACACCCCTGGTGTGAGAAGGCAATGAGTAGGACTTCCCTGGCAGAGGCTGTATACGCGCGGTCATGTGAGAGTATTTCGAGAGGGAGAGCGGACTCCCCCCACTCTCGTCCGTACCAGGGCATTCGGTTTTTTTAGTAAAATGTCTAATATTGTTGTTATCTATTATTCTACGTTGTCAGATCAAAGGTTACAGGTTAGAATTGTGTCTCACCGTTATAATATTATTAGTAATTACCTGCCCAAAATCGTAGCTTTAAACTAATTACGTATCACTATCCCATGGTATATTGATTTAAATATACAGACAAATATCATGATGACTTGTGATATGATATATGTGTATTCTGAGTCGAATTTGTTTTATGGTAAATCTATCAAATATGTTCTTGGTTAGTTGATTGTAGAAAGCATTCGATGGAGATCGCTTGAATTCGTCTTGATCAGTTGGTTGATTGATTGATTGATTGACTGGTTTATTTTAAGTCGTTTTTTGTTGTAGAAAGGAACTACCCTAATGTTGTTGGTTTACTTTTGTTGTTATCACACTGTTGAACTCTTGGTACACCATTTAGTATTATTATTATTTTAAAACAAATTTTAGTTTCTACTACTATTACTACTTTAAGTGTTTGTGAGTAGTAGTTCTTAGTTGCATTAATTAATTAATGTTTCAATTTCAGTATGGATATTCCACCTGGAACAAAATTTCGTCCAGTTGGTTCAATTCCATTAGTAATGGGGTTGTTATTATTATAGAAAAAGCATATTGTGGTACTCGGTGGGATTGTTAACAATTTAATACGGGAATGGAATATGACTAAGGTAAGTACTAAATATCACTACGTTTGCATTTGATTTGTCGATGGCCTATGCTCCATGTCGGGGGGGTAACAAGTATAATTAAGTAAGTATTGGTGAACTACTGATTAAAATGTATTTTCTGTTAAATAATGTTGTTTTTAAAACTTACATTCAACAACAGAGTAATCAGCTCATCATAAGTTTCATGCTCTGTTTTCTTTAAATATTCTGTCAACGTCTTTTGTGACAAACTCCTGTAGACAAGGAATAAAACAAAAAAATTTCTATGGTTCATGATAGATTGTAGATGAACATATACTGATCAGTGATTGGATCAGTTTGACCCATGTTATAATATAGTATTATAATAATCATTGCGTTACGATGATAAAACGTGATCGTCTTATTGTAACAATCTCATTGGTAAATCTTTGAATTGGATCTATGGCATTTGACAAAGGATTGATGTTAATGTGAGGATTACGCAGGAACTAAATTAATCGACTGTTTGTCTGAAACGTACTTGCAATTAAAGATTAACTAACTGAGATCTAGGAGATAAATTTAACCAATTACCGGAGACATCGGGTAATATGGCTTAGGACTTGTTCATAATTGATTTTAGATCTAGTAATCCTTCATGTATACATTTTTATTTTATCTTCTAGTACCATATGAAGGGTTGCGCAAGATAATAGATTGAAGTTAGACATTAACATTACAGAATTAATACATTTGGACGATTATGATCGATTCTGAGCTATGTCATCTAGCATCTTCAATCACTGGTTAGAACAATCGTGCAAACTTCAAGCGGGCAGTCCGTATTATCTACCAATACGGCGTAAGCTAACAGTTAATGTCTTCATCAACTGCTCCTTGTTACACATTCGCAAGTAATACTGATATTCCGACATTGTTCGATCTCATTAAAGACTGATTTTAATTGGACAGTTGTTGTGAACTACAGAATATTGGATCTGTATCCCGTTCCCAGTTGGAACTCGTTCGGAGTGTGCGTCCACGATCCTGTGATAAAGATTAGTCTTAGCGCTTTTAGGTATCATGTTGAACGTAGCAAGTGTAAACCAATGAGTTGCTCTTCAATATAATTCATATTTGCAATTTCAATTTATTGAACTGGTGCATCATTTCACTTCATCAACTCTACAACTGCTTCAGGACTAAGTACTGATTCAAAATTATGAGTAAACTAACTCTTTTAATGAATATTATTTTTCTTTAAAATCGTTTCACGTGAGTTCGAAGGTAGTATACGGGTTACATAAATGACTTTAAAATGTTTACCAACAAATAAAACCTAGAAAACATTGTGCATATGTTGTATACTTTATTTCACACGTGAAACAGATTGTAAACACGCCAGTATCCCATCGCCATATTCTTCACGAATGCTCAATAACAGTATGTCACTGGTATCAACATATGAAGAATTTCACTGTGCAATATCCTACAATTTTCTCATAAGGTGGTCTACCTTAAAATTAAGGATTATATTAGAATTCTTGATCCAATAATAAAGAACAATGTACACCAGTAAACATCACACGTCGAGCTCGACAGTGAACTAAAAGCTATGTATATTCCCGGAGAATATAAGCATCGCGCTTATGACCATAGTCTAATCACCTTCAATTACAACATTACTGAAGAGTATGAGATTACTTTTCGGGATTAGGACATGATACACCCATTGGATAAGTCATTATTGTCTATTTAGTATTCAGAAGGGGTTCGTGGAGATTTTAGGAATTTCACAGATTGAAATCATGAGTCAATTGAAACTAAACCACCATGGAAAATCTGGAAGCACTGGACGGCCGTTTCGTCCTAGTATGGCGCTTAACCAACTAGACCACTGAGCCGGCATCCAATGGTGTTAAAGTCTAACTTCAACGAATCCAAGAAGTTGCGCTACCGTACACCATTGTTTTCAGTGAGTTGATATCTCACAACAGACATGGTTAAACTCCACTAGTAACGGCTTCTCACTAGAACTCCAGGAGTATCTCTTGAAGTCAGTCGCTAGTGAGCAGATGATTATTATCAGAAGATCCTGGTGCGAGACTGATAGGTTCTGGATTCGAATCTCACTGGTTGCGCACAGCTGAAGAGTCCCATACTAGGACGAAACGACCGTCCAGTGCTTCCAGGTTTTCCATAGTGGTCTAGCTTCAATTGACTCATGATTTCAATCTGTGATGTTTAGTATTCACCAACAAATTGTTATATAAAAATATCAGAATAATTTCATAACTTAATAGTTATGAAAAGAACTTACCAACCAGCATTGGTTACCTCGGTTAAACTACACTGAAACATAGAAAACATAATGGAAAATATTTCAGTATGATAAGTGAGGGGGAGGGAGGATGAAAGTGAAAAGAGTAGATCCATATAGTAAACAAATTATTTATTTCTTCAATAAGAATTAACAATTTACACATACAAAGAAAAAATCTCTATACGACTTTTATACATAGAAAAATACAATATAGGGATACAAAAACATTTCTATCAATTTGTATAGACAAGAAAGAAACGATTTTTGTTCAACAGACTTTGTTTCATGGATAGATTAGACATTAGACAGAGAGGCATATACAATATCTGTAAGTCATATTCATATGACTAATGTATAATATAACCCAATGGATCTTGTTCATTGTCAATTAAATATTGAATTGATTCAGAAATATGATGAAGAAGATTTTGAAGCTGAGGTCCAGAGAACAACTAGATATATAAAGAAAGACGGAGAGAAAGAATAAAACATAATAGAATAAAAGTATCATCATAACTGAAATAATATGCCCTAATACAAAAAAATATGTCCTATTACACAATGAGTAGAAGTAAGTATTTTATCTGAGTTTTTTTTATAAGGCCATATTCCTGTCTTCCTGAAAGATCTTGAATTAAGTATTTATTTATTTATTTGAACACATAAATATTGGTACAAGAGGGCACCAAATATATATGCGCCACACAAATCTTATTCGATATGTGTGAGCGCTGTGATACTTTCCTGGTGCCCAGACCGAAGCAGGTGGTTTACTTAGGGGACCACACCCCGAGCCTTTGACCTAAAGGTCTAATCCACAAGGCAGTAAAGCACCGTGAGGAGATTTAGTCCCATGGTAGCCGGTGACCAACAATTGGTTCATACGTCATTTGTTCCCACAGGATACTGGAGCCCATGTGCACCATTGGTTTGTGATCCGGTTAAAGCGCCGGACATTCGCTTTTCGTCCTCTCATTTTCGTAAACGACACCCCCGCCACGAGAAGGCATTGAGTAGGACTTCCCTGGCAGAGGCTGTGTACGCGTGGTCATGTGAGAGTATTTCGAGAGGGAGAGCGGACTCTCCCCACTCTCAGCCATACCAGGGTATTTTGGGGGGGGCTGAATTAAGTAACATTTTTTAACTATTCATGCATGAATCTCATTCATTTGATTTTGTACTGTATCTTCGAGATATAAAGTACCACACTGTAATTTATATCACTGATATGGTAAGTTAATAAAAAGAAATCAAATAAGAGGGTCACTTGATGACCATCTGAAATAACCTGAAGGAGAAGTGTATTACATTGGCTAAGAAATGAACTAATTTCTTAAGCCAGATTTACTTACTCGCCTACTCTTGTGTTCTCGCCCAAGTAGTCAGTTGGAGGTAGGGACTGGCGCGTAGCATATCATGTATCAGTATTAGATTTCGGACACCACCCGACAAAACAATTACCTTATTAATTTTCTATAGTTTTACTGATATGATGATGTGGTAACTTCGACCAAAACATATTTGTATCATGTAGTTTATTGTTAACAAATGATAGACAGATTTATATACTCCACTAGTTGTTGAAGAAGAAAAAAAATGTTCAAAAATCTATGAAGCTCAAATAAATGAATCCATCCAGTGAGTAGCATTATCAATTTGACCACTTCCCCTCAGTTATTTCACCGACGTTTAATAAAAAATGAAAGTAGTTTCAAACAAAAAGATATTGATGTCCAGTAAATTGATTCTTTTTTTAAAAAAAGAATTAGTTCGCATCACGAATTCATAGCAGCAGGAAGATTATTTGTTAGTGTTTTTACAGAAAAGCAGTAACCCTATAACTTACAGCAGAGGTAAACTCTAACTTGAAATCCTGGACGTAAAAGAAAAAGAGGAAGATCAAGGAACATATTACGTCGGGAATTGGAAACAGTCATCAATCAATGAACAGAGACTGGAAAAAACTGGAAAGGATTGTCCAGGATAGAGTTCGATGGATAATCCTGGTGAGTGACTTATGCTCCTCCACAAGGAGTAACAAGCATAAGTAATTAAAGAAGACAATTGAAATTCTAGTTTGCCGTTCATCATTTATAACTAATCACAACCTTAAAAAAGGAACAAAAAAACGCTTGAATATTTTACTTCACTTCAAAAGAAATCCTACCTACCTTGAATAAACCATATTCATTATCTACAATTAAATTAGATAATTCAATACATTTTTGATGTAATCCAGCAGTTTGATATAAACGAACAATAAGAAACACTGTCTCTGTAATACATGTCTCTCGTAGTACATTCATTTGTAATTGACGTGAAGCAGGATTTTCATCAAGTTCATCAAATAAATCATTTTTATTCATACTTAATGTTTCACAATTGTTTCCATGTATTTCTCCTCCTTTATCATCTTCGAATTTACGATCAATTAATTTATCATGATGAATTTCTGTTGTCAATGTTAATCGATCATTTGAATCCATATTCAATTGCTGTTGTTGTCGCTGTTCTATATCAACCAACCAACCGGGATGAGGATATGTTAATAAAGCCAAAAGTTTTTCAGCTGCTGCCTATATCATTTGTGTTTAGTGTTTTAAAATATGAAACAAATAAATAAAATTTTATTTAAAACTCAAAAGAATATAGAAATAATTTAGTTGCGGGGGTTTTGTAAAGATCAGTTTGATTTGTAGGTTATATATATTCACCACAGATTGATCAAAGCTGAGGTACTATTTAAAAACTAGGAAGAACCGGATAGCTGTTTCGTTTCATTACGGAACTCCTTAGAGATGTGCATCCGCTCCAGGTTTTCTGCACCAACCCTTAACAATTAGAACCATTCGATTCGCATTCAATCGCACAATTTCAATGGTGTCTTAATTGAGACCATAGTGAATGAAAACCCGAGCAGAGAAAACCAATTTATTATTTAATGCATAATTACAGTGGCTTGGTGAAATATGAAAGTCATACATTAAATGCATCATTTGGATATCTCCTTTGCGTTGTCCTTTACATAATCCATTATTCCTCTAATTCTGATGTTATTTTGATTGCTCTCCGAATTCATTCCTGTTCAATTCATTCTAATCTGTTGCAAGGCCTTCTACTTCTGATTGGTGCTATCTACTACTTATATCTGTCAATATAAGTAGCATAAACCACAACATTAATCCATAAAGAATAAAACTTACAAGAAATAAGAAAATTCAGTGAATCTTAAATAACATCACTGATTTTGATTATCGTACGAGCCACACGAATATGCAGCTTTAAATTTCATAGTTCAAACTAATAAACAAAGAATTGAATATTTGATGTCACTAGTCTAAAACTTTAATCCGATCCAAGTAACTAATATGCGCTCATGAAGAAGGGAATACTAAGTGTTAAGAAAGCTCCGTTGAAATAATTCAATAAATGTGTGCAGTATGTATGTAGTTACCTAGAAGGGGAGATGTAGTCAGTAATCCTGAGTTGATTATTAAGTTACTCACTCATAATAGGCTTGTCAATATTTTCATTCCTCACTGATTGTGTTATCATGCAACAGTATGTGATATGTCTGGACTTGCAGTAAATAACACATACGTCATGTTCAAGCTCCTTGGGCATATCGCTTTCCCGTCGTCAAAAGAAGATTCTCTTCTGCATTGATCGAGGTGAGGGCAAACGGGTTAGATAATAAAATGTAACCAAATGAGTTGTGAACTAAACTAAAATAATGCTTAAGATTAAGGTGGGGGGGTGTAGGTGTGCGCGTGATTAACAGTTTCTTGAATTATATTTATTCATAAAAGAATATTCCTTCCTGAAAAATCTAATCTACTAGACGGTTGACATTTTGAAGCTTACCGTTAATATCGGAAGTTGGTGAAATAAGGCCACTTTTTAAGCAGCATCTCCCAGGGATGAAAACAGCTTAATACCGTTTTACATTAGAGTGAATCTAAAAGTATAATTTTTCCCTAGAACATTTTTCACTATATTACTACTCTTTAACCAACCTATGTGATATAAGATTTTTTGAAACACTTTCCTCAACTAATATATCTCCATTAGGTCGTCATAATAATAGGCAATGCCTCACAGTCGCAAAAACGGATAACAGAAAATTCACAACTAATAATTATCAAATTCAATGGTTAAGATCATGAGTCACTTGAAGCTAGACCACCATGGAAAACTTGGAAGCACTGAACGGCCGTTTCGTCCTATTGTGGGACTCCTCAGCAGTGCGCAGGTTTTCCATGGTGATCTGGCCTCAAATGGCTCATGATCTCAACCATTGAAATTACTATGATATCCACTACTAACTCATGTTTATTTATTTAACTGTATAAATTTCTATTAGAGTCCATGCTTACATAACGGGACGTTTTTCAAATCTTATCTTTATCTAAACTTATTTCATTATTGAGAAGGAAATTATTAAATGCAATAACTGCTATTATTAACCAAAGCAATATTACAATCAACTGATGACTACATTCAATACACTATTTTAGTGGCACGAGATCTGACTCCATGTAGATCGTTTGCTGCTTGTTATCGAAATATACATGTCGCCAATCCTTGTAAATAATCATCGACTTAACTTGCGTTATTGAATCACGGAATAATTCAGATAGGAGAATGAATTTTTGAATACATATATCCCGTACAATTGTTGATCGGAAAGCGAAACAAAACATAATGATATGCAATGGAGAAGGCGAGTGAGCCAACAAAAACAAGTTACAGACAATTGATGGATAGGGTAAACATAATTAGCACACATACGATCATATAAAAAACAATCAGGGTTAATAAAAGAATAAGTGACACAGTAAAAATATGGCTTGAGAAGAATAGATAGATTGGTTTGTCCAAAGGTTAGAATAACCAGCCCCCTACACTATTTCAGCTTGATTTTCACTCGTTCATTTATATTCATGTTTCATACAATAAATAATATAGAAATGTGAAGAAATAAACATTTTTTATAGGTAACTTAATCATACTTTAGATGAATCTACCCAACTACCCAACTACCCGTGGACAGACAAAATCATAACGATACTTTACAAACATAAATACAAATAAAAACAGACAATCAATTCACAACCAACCTCTGTATCTAATCGTGTATCATGTCGCCAACGTTCAAGACGAGCTAAATACTCTTTTTTTGATTCTTCAATGGCAAGACGTTGTGCTAAGCCACGAGGACCATATGTTGTATGCATAAAATTATTATTATTTGTTAACGAAGACGGTTGTACAGGTCGATTAGTATGTACTTGTTGATACCAGTCAGCAAATGCATCCTTAATTAGTAAACAAAGTAGTAAAAAGGTGAATAACAAATGAACAAATAAACTGTATTCGGAAATCATGTAGTTATTATTTATTATCTGAATACATAAACATTGATACAAGGAGATACCTTAAATGTATATGGGCCACATTGGACATGTACACGCCACCGAAGTCGATGTCTCAATATAGTGACACTAATTGGATTATTGTCGTTCTGCCCGAATACATGATGCCGAACCTCTGCATTACTAACAGGATGTTGCCACTGGACGCCAGCGACCAACCGGAAACAACGATAATCAAACACAGTGAGTCGTCCAACATTCTTAACTCGGAGGGGCCAGGTCTCACAAGTGTAGAGCAAAACTGTTTTCATCTACGTATTACAGATCTGACCATCTACATCCAGACTAATATCACGAAAGTGCCAAAGACGGCCCGGACGCTAATTGCCAACTGACCAAGTGCAGATTACATGACTTGGATATTATCGCACAGTATGACAATATCTTCCGCATACTCAACGTTGAAAAATCTTTCTCCAAACAACAGATCCACACCACCATTACCTACATCCGTCGGAGCTGTTTCCAGAACGCCATCGATAGTAAAGTTGGGGAGGTATGACGAGATTAGAAAACGCCGACTAATCTCACTGTCTGAATAGAACGATTGAGAGAGGTGGTAGTATTCCCTCACTTCGTCGGAGGTGTCTATATGTAGGACTTTTAAGATATTGACAAACTTCTCAAGTACACCCTTCTTCAACAGACAATCCCAAGGAACATTCTAGTTGAACAAATCGAAGGCGCTCTGATGTCAAGAAACACTACGACTATCGGCCTAAAATAAGTATGACAATGTTCTAACAATTGGCGGGGGGCGGAGATATGATCAACACATCCTTGACCAGAACGAAATTCAACCTGTCCCTCGAGACTCAATCTTTCGCGGGTATTGAACAATTTGCAGAGTAAGACGGAAGCCAATAATTCGGATGAAATTGGTAGCAGATAGTTATTCCACAGGTGATGTGAATCGTTTTAAAGACATAGACAACTATCGACTCATTTCATGATGTTGGTACACTCTCTGATTGTCAGACGTTTGTAGACAACTCGATCAGTTCCTTAACCAGAAGGTCACAACCATCTTTAAAAACAGGCCAAAAGTAAACCACCTGGCCCTGGTGACTTATGGCGCTTCAAGAGTTGACGTTCCTTGCGGTCTTCCACCTCGTTAGGTGGATCATTCAGCTTAGATGGTCTGGATATGTGTTAGGATTATCATCCCAGAAATTTCAATAGAAAAAAAACAGCATTTACTGGATGCTGAAAGGTTATCAGTTTATGACATGACACCATAGAAGAAAACTATATAGGACTGTCATCTGTCTGTCACTCATGACTAATCTGATTACGGTCCTATAGATTGTGAAACTCAGTGGTTTGAGATGATATCAGACATGGCTTAGAATAAAAACCAATAGTGATTCTGATGTAGTTTCCTTTAAAATTCTTTACAGAAATGAAAGGAATTCTCTTAACTTAAAGAGTTCTCTCTCGGTTGTATTGTTATTTGACCTGTACATCCAACTACTTTTGTTTACCCCCCCCCCTCTTTGTCACATTTATTAAAATGTACGTATATTAAATGGATTAAAAGAAGATAAGTGGAGCGTAAAAATGTAAATAATATTTCCATAAAACTAACCCGGCTTTCTAAATATAAAGTAAGACATTCATGTTCACGTATTGTATTCACAAGCCAATCAGGTGAACCCAATTTCTCACAAATTATTTTAGCATGTTCTAATGTACCAACTGGTAATTTTGATAGAACCTTAAGATAAGTAAAGAAAAAAAATTAATGAGTATATCCTCTCTATTTTAACTCTAGATAACAACAAAAATGTACTCTCTATATAGATACAATATGGTAAATGATTTTCAAGAGATATATATGAGATACAAATAAATAAAGCCAATACTACAATAATATACTCCGAAAGTAATGTATCATTTGATTGTTGTAATGTCTGTTTGAATCTTTCCTTTGGTGTTCGAGACTCGGAGTGAATATCAACTCTGGGATACAGATACACCGAGCTGATGAGCGCCAGGTAGGACGAAACGGGAGTCCTATATTCCACTGCTAGCCACCATCCATAAAAGTAATGTACCTAGCCCACGCCATAAATGACGCAAGTTGGCAAAAGCTAGTCGAGCCTTCTGTATTCGTGCTGAGATTTCGTTACACACTAGACCACAAGAGCTGATGAGACTTCTAAGATAAGTGAAGCGGTCGACACGCTCAACTACTTCAGTCAGTCAGCTACAACGTAGGACCAGGCACATATATGCATCGGTCCAGGTTGCTATACCGCATCAGCACAACAAGATGAACACCGGATTCATAGCAGTGGTTAGGTCAAAGGTGGTAATATATAAGAGAAAGATTGCAATAAGGATATAGTACAAGAAGAAAGAATTGGTTCGTAGAAAGAAAGATATGAAGTTATTTTAATCTCTTAGTTTAAGGGAAGACAAAGAGTGCATGCACCACCGACGCCATTGTGATCGATTCTGAGCCATGTCACCCAGATTCTCCAACCATTGGTTACGAAAGTCACGCGGACCCCAACCAAGTAGTCTGCATCTACCAACATGGCTCAGACTAGAAGTTAGTGTCTTCAAGCACTGATGCCACGTTTTGGTTTGGCCGCCCCTAACTTTCTTCCAACCATCTCCAATACCGGTTAGCATTGCACGTCGTGGTAATCGGTGTTCAGGCATACGTAACACGTGTTCCAACCATCTCAGTCGATGAAGATTCAAAACCTCATCAACTGATTTACCATCATTCCCTAATACCCTGCGTCGAACCTCACTATTACTTACCCGGTGATCCCAGCAGACGCCAGCAATATTTCTAAGGCATCTGTGGTCAAATACTAGTAGCTTACGAGTGTCTTCTACTCTTAATGGCCATATTTCGCTGCCGTAAAGTAAAACAGAACGGACTGCCGAGCAGTATACTCGTCCTCTTATTGATAGACAGATATCTCGCCTTCGCCATAGGTGACGTAAGTTGGCAAAAGCCAAACGAGCTTTTCGAATCCGTGCTGAGATTTCGTCAGACACCAACACATTAGGCCTGATCAGACTTCCAAGATAAGTGAAGTTGTCAACGCGTTCGACTACTTCACTCCCTATCCTTAGTTCAGGTGTTGACGCAGACCAGTCCTGAAGCAACAACTTGCATTTAGAGTGAGAGAAGCGCATTCCAAACATTCTGGCATTGTTGCTTAGTGCTACCGATAGACTGCATTTTATCAGCGTCTTCACTAAACAGGACTATGTCATCTGCGTATTCTAAGTCGATAAGTGGACCTCCTGGATGGAGATCAATACCCGAGAACTCAGTCGACGAGAAAGTTATTTCCATCAGTAGATCTATGATGAAGTTAAACAAAAATGGGGAAAGTGGACAGCCTTGACGGACACCACTTGAGGTTGCAAAAGTAGATGACAGTTCGCCATAAGCTCTGACTCGACTGGTAGTGTCCGAGTAAAGAGCCTTCACAAGGTTTATGTACTTCTGTGGTACGCCATTCAATGACAGACACTGCCACAGAATCTCGCGGTCTACCGAGTCAAATGCTACTTCACTTCGTATCATTAGTTCGGGTGTCGATGCAACCCAATCCTGAAGCAACATTTTGCATTTCGAGGGGAAGAATCGCATCCCGAGTTCAACCGGGTCTATTGTGAGATAGTAACTCACTGAAGATAATAGTGGATGGTGGCTCAATTCTGTGAATTAGTTAAAGTTATACATTAACACCGTTAGATACCGCCTCATTGGTCTAGAGGTTAAGCGTTCGCGCGCGAGACCAATAGGTTCTGGATTCGAATCTCGCAGGATGGAATCGTAGATGAGCACTGCTGAGGAGTTCCACAATAGGATGAAACGGCCATTCAGTGGTTCCAAGGTTTCCCATAATAGTCTATCTTCAATTGACTCATGATCTCAACTACTGAAATTACTAAAATCTGCACAAAGCCCCTTTTGATAGCATTCTTTTAAACAAACTATTCAACTATCCTTTTTTTTAAAAAAAAATTATAACCACATACCTGTTGTGCTGCTTTAAATGAATGCATTGCAATAAAAACTCTTAATAAACTATTAGCTAAGCATAAAGCTTCACCACGTTGATCTGGATTATAAAATAACCAATCCATTGCAATAATACGTTGTTTATCTAGATCAGTTAATTTACCAATTTCATGTTTATTATTACTGTTATTATTATTAGTAGTAGTATGTAATAATTTAGTGAAATATTCCATTTCATTGAATGATGGTTTTATATAGTTATTTTGTTTGGATAATATTGAATTATGATCCATTGTATTAGAAGAATATTGATTGATTGATGATAAATCAATTCGTTGTTTGGATAATCTTACTATGGATCTTGTTAATTTCGATAAATTGAAACCATAATCAACAGCTAATGATAAACAATGTTCACGTTCAGTTGGATGATTGATTTCTATAAATGAAATGTGAATGGTAAAAGTAGGGAATTGATTCTATCAGATGAAAATTGTTAAAGACTTAAAATGAATGATGAAATTATCTAAATGAACGACATCGATAAGGTTTAGAATCTTTATCAGTTGAAATGATTAAGATATATATGTATTTTATTCACCATCGCCTATCTTGACAGTTAATATTGGGTAAAGTAGAACTTGGTTAGAAGAAAGTCAAGGTTAGTCAAACCAAGATGTGACATTAAATCATGAGGACAGCAACAGTCGGTTTGAACTATTTTCGCAGCTATAGACCGTCTGTTTAATAATAATGTTTTTGAACATGACACAAGTCCATGAAGTCACGGACAAGTGGACTGAGTCATGTTGGTAGATGTAGACTACCTGTTCGGGATCAGCGAGACGATAGCAACCGATGATTAGAGACCCTGAATGACATGGCTCAAAATCGTTTACAATGGCGCAGGTGCACACACTCTTTGTATTCTCCCAAATTCTAATCTTCTGTATTCTTTATGTCCCCTTTCTTCTTCTCTTTCCAAATTTATTTTACTGGATCATACTCATTGAATAACATCTTTAAACACTAGTCTTTCCGATCACTGCTTATACTTTTACTACCTCTACCACTACGTGATTTGAATCGACAATTGTATATCTGTGCTAATGTGGTATTGCAACTTGAACTGATGTACGTACGTACGAAGTTCTACGTTGTTACTGACTGAAATGTTTTTGAAAGACATGTTTTAAAATCAGAGAGATGAATTTCTCAACAACCCAGTGATTTACAATATCAAAGATCATTGAAGTTTATGAAGTCTAAAATGAAACAGTGACTTATAGATGATATCAAATCGTTCAGTTTTACAAATTGAACTATTGAATTTCAACCTAGTGGTCTAAAATATAATCGTTCTAAATTTAATTCAATGCAGGGGACTGTTGATGAGAGTGAGACGAAAGATTATAGGAAGAATTTGTATTTATACAATACTGCAATTGATCATCTCTATTGAATTATGTACATCTAGATAGGATTGCCTTAATCTTTTTGATGGAGTTTTGTTCTCTGAGCTGGATGGTTTGGTCGTGGAGCTTTCATCGTTCTTCTGAACGACATCATCAGCATAAACTTCAGATTTTGTCATTGAATCATAAGTTTTCAATAAATTTCGATTCTAACAAGGAATAAAGTCCAGGAAATACATTTTCGTTTATTCAAGACTTGTCACCTAAATGTATTTGTATCCTAGAATAAATTATTGCATTGAGATACAAATCCATTGCTTGTCACTTTAAACACCATGCTATCATCATCTAACCACAAGGCTATTTTGAGTCTGAACACCTAAACATATTTGAACATATCAATAATAGGTAAAATTATTCTAATATGTTTTAGTTGAATACCTGTTAAAAACCATGAATACCATTGAATTTGTAATGATTCAGTGGGTAATACAGAAACATAATAGGCAACTAAGTCGGTTTCTTTATTCACAATTAAAAAGCATAAATAAGCTTTAATAATTTCTGAATATGGTTCATCCTATAATTTTAAAAAATATAGAGAAAACAGAGATAAAAATGGAATAGTGAACAAGTAATCAAATGAATTGTATTGTGTAAAGTGTAATTAACAAAACAAAAAATATATACTTGAGTTTATGTACCAAATAATTTATGAACGTAGTAGTAATTCTAATATGAGTAGTTTCAAGCTATACAAATGATACCATCCGACTTTACATATAAAAGTTATGGGAGTGAATAAGTGGAACAACTCTGACTACTAAGAACCCCCTCAAAATGCCCTGGTAGGTTTTTAAATGCCTTGGTACGGCCGAAAGTGGGGAGAATCAGTTTTCACTCTCTCCAAATGTTCTCACATGGTCACGTGCATACAACCACTGCAACGGAAGTCCTACTCACTGAATTTTCGCGGCCGACCTGTTGTTTACGAAATTGAGAGGACGAAAAGCAAATGTTCGGCGCTTTAACCGGGTTGGTGGACACGGAGAGCCCACCTAGTGGAGTTAGTTGGGAAACCCTGATCCCAAACCAATCGTGCACATGCGCCCCAATATCTTGAAGGAACAAATAGAGTATGAACTAACTGTTGGTCACGGGATACCATGGAACTGCGTCTCCTGATGTTGCTCCACTGCCTTGTGGGTCAGACCATTAGGTCAAACGCTCCGGATATGGCCCCCTAAGAAAACCACCCGCTCCGGTTTGGACGTCCGGGCAGTATCCCAGTCCTCACACAAGTCGAATGATTTACGTGACGCATGTATATTCGGTGCCTCATTGTACCAGTTTTTAGGTGTTTAAATAAAATAAATAAACTAAGAAACCGCTTCATAGTTGGTATAATAGGTTATGAAAGTTTGGGATCTATTGTATCAGTTAATCAAACAACCTTATTGACCAAACTTAGATTTGTGAAATATGGCTTGTTAAAGGATTGGACGCAACCAATTTGAAGTTAAAATCCTAGATCAGTTAAGCGATAGCCTTAGTTAGAGCGTACGATATTGTAAACAGTTTCAGAAATCGAGTAGCCGGTAAATTGATTAGCAAACTAATAATTTTACATAAATCCTTATTTAAGTTGATCACGTTTTTACTCCTAACCAGCTCGTGGTTCACCAGAAAGTATTGTATTAGTGAGTTGAGTAACAGCATTCCATGTAACTAGTCAAGACTATGGAGATTAGACACCTTATTCAGGAACACAATATGACGTTGAGATTTACCAAAGATGAGTTATACCATAAAATTTCTAGTGACCATAGGCGACTGATTCTATTTGACGAACGTCATTGAAAAAATAAACAGTTATATACAAACAGGTAGACATAACGTGACGTAAATGGACTTTTCCTAGTCAGTATGAAAAATTGCCATGTCATGTTTAAGTTATACCAGTCATATGATGTTTAAACCGAGTTCTTCTAGGGAATTCGAGAAATCCACATTCCAAAATGACAATATTCAAGGACTCCAGGATCCTAATGAAACGAATACCGTATGAATTACACTGTTAGGCCAAAAGCTTATAGACAATAATCTACTACAAAAACCACCCTCTTCACTCTTCGCATTTGAACAATGTTGCACACCACACATAAATAAGGTTATGAATACTAATGAATAAAATGGTTTACTCCGCTTTTCTATTCATAAAACGATATTTACAATTATTCGGTCATAAATGAATTTATTTTATAGAGCGTCAACTTGCTATTCTGGTTTATTTCAACTGTGTAGCATACTTCCGCTTATATTGATTTTAGACTTCAGCTTACACAGTAACTAACTAAGAATTAATTCAAATTCAATACTCCTCAAAGTGGCCTCAAACCATTGAAGTGTTGATTTATTGAGTGCTGTCATACAATGCAAAATATGATATATCAGTTCTAAAACCACAGGTACCGTTTAAACTTGACGTTTTCAATGTTCACAAATTCATGTAGATCATACAACAGACAATTCTGACTATGTAGTTCGGAAAGTCTTGTTATCAAAGACCCGTATTGAAGAATCTACCGAAGTAATCCAAATTTACTCTCCATCTGTCAATTCGAAAAATTTGTTACTCGTGAAATTGTCCGGAATCTCTGTAGCATTGGTGTCTGGTTTGTATAGCGTCAGTTTAGTACTAGGAACCAGGGCGCAACCAGTGCTAATCCACTGGATACTCATTAATAGTCATTGACATCCCGTTAGGTTAGAAGGTCCTATCAAAGTAAGGTCATAAATAACAGCAATCTACAGAAAAACTTTCAGCGTTTATGGTCTCAGTACCTTTTAAAAATTGTGCAAGTGGAAACAAACATGATACGGGTTTGTATAAATCATAACAGTAAACCAATATTCCGACATAACCACGATTGTTACATGATGACCAACTGCGTCTAACGATAAAAAAGGTTGTTATTAAATAGATTAAGGTACCGTGGCTTCATTGTTGCCATGATGTGATGGCAAGGACTCAACCGTTTGTTTGCTTCAAACTGGTGAAAAACAAACCATTATATAGTGAGCTACCGAACTAGCCGTTTGTACGAAAGAAACAATCTCAAAGTTCAAACAAAAAATTGTCAATAAACCAGAGAAAAAATTTCTAAAATAAAAAATATTAATTACCGGAATATCAGAATCTGCTGATTTTAAAAACAGGACAAAATGAGTCAGAAATCGAAGTGTGTGACAAACTACTTGATCAATATTCCCAACTCTATTCAAATTTGGCGGTTGTAATGGAGATACATCTGGTACAATACCATCGCCTAAACCATAACACACAAGTTTCGGCATCAGATTGGCTAAAGTTAGGAGAAAAGCTGTAAAAATTGAAAATAGAATGTATTGTAGTCAACAAATGCACTAGACACTGACAATAAAATTAAGATAATTAGTCAATAAGCAACAGGCATTTTTTTAAATAATAACCAAATGAGTAGTGACCAATGACATGTATTGTGAGGAGTCTGCTCGTTTTTTCTTACTCGGAAAGCTCTAAAAATTATTGAGTATATCATACATTCTTTCAGGGAAGTCTTACAACTCACTACCATTATATGGTAGGATGTTTCCTTAAAAAGTGAGAAGGTAAAAGCAAACGTCTGCCATTTAAATCAAGACGGTAGATAGGGATAGCTTACCAAGAGGAGTTGGAAAGTCTAGATTTTAAACAAATAATGCACACAAAGTTCAAAATTGTGTACAAACCCACTTTGGTCACAAGTATTACTCAGATGACCTGTAGAAATCTTAAGATGAGCGCTGTTATGACAAAACTTCATCTAAAATGTTTGCATAATATACCTTTTTTGAAAGATACCGAATTTGAGACAGTGGTTGTAACTCAATAATAAACAACATTCTTTCGATCAATGCAGTTAAACGATTAGGAAAGCGTTCAGATCCAACAAACTGTAATATATGTTAATTGTACAAGGAACACTAATCTAACTAACTACACACAAATGCAAAAAAAACGGTATCTAGTTAAAGAATTCAACATGAAACTTATGAAAAATCAAGTATCTAAACTGTATATGCTTTCATCATCAATATTAAAATGAAATTGTTTAAGTATTCTATTACAGCTTATAAACAGCCCCCAAATGCCCTGGTATGGTCGGTAGTGGGGAGAGTCCGCTCTCCCTCTCGAAATACTCTCACACGCATATATAGCCTCTGCCAGGGAAGTCCTACTCAATGCCTTCTCACACCAGGGGTATTGTTTACGAAAATGAGAGGACGAAAAGCGAATGTCCGGCACCTTAATCGGATCCCAAACCAATGGTTTACGTGGGCTCCAGTATCCTGAGGGAACAAATGGCGTATGAACATATTGTTGGTCACCGGCTACCATGGGACTGCATCGCCTCACGATGCTCCACTGCCTTGTGGATCAGACCTTTAGGTCAAAGGCTCGAGGTGTGGCCCCCTAAGTAAACCACCTGCTTCTGTCTGGGCACCCGGGAAGTATCACAGCCCTCACACATATCAAATGAGATTTGTGTGGCGCATATGTATTTCGTGCCTCCTTGTACCATTATCTATGTGTTAAAATAAATAATAATATAAACAGTGGCCAATTAGTAAATGACATGAATTTACCTTTCTCTTGCATTTTAAAACATAAAAAAATTACACTTAAAGATCAAATGTTTTGTTCAATAAAACTTACAATCATAATTCTTTAACATGATAGTCTGTTGTACAGCATAGAAAATGCAATAAATAATAGCATATACAGAAGGTGATTCCATGTCATTCCCACCGGCACCACTGCCACCAATATCATCATTCGTGTACAAATATGAAGTATCATCCATTAAGAAATCATTCATTGCAGAACACAATACTGATCTCATGCGTAGATTATTACATTTTTCTAAACATCCAGTAGCAGACCAACCTAAACGTGCATCGACACGTGTAAATACATCGGATAATGTCCAATCACCCGGTGTCCAAGCTGATTCAGGCAAGCTTAAACCTCCATCCAGAGGCCAATATTTAGATGTTTTCCCGGTAACAGCCTAATAAATTAATATTTTAAGAATTAAATTAGAATAAATTATTCAAAACAATGAAAGAATTTTCCTATTAGGTAAGATTGTACATATTAGGAAGATAGAATCCCAGCAATTCTATGCATAATGCAGACTGATTGATCTGTTTTTAACTAATCAACGCTGAATTCTCGGGTATTGATCTCCATCCAGGAGGTCCACTTATCGACTTAGAATACGTAGATGAGATAGTCCTGTTTGGTGAAGACGCTGACAAAATGCAGAGTCTTTTGGTAGCACTGAGCAACAATACCAGAATGTTTGGAATGCGCTTCTCTCACTCTAAATGCAAGTTGTTGCTTCAGGACTGGTCTGCGTCAATACCTGAACTAAGGATAGGGAGTGAAGTAGTCGAACGCGTCGACAACTTCACTTATCTTGGAAGTCTGATCAGGCCTAATGTGTTGGTGTCTGACGAAATCTCAGCACGGATTCGAAAAGCTCGTTTGGCTTTTGCCAACTTACGTCACCTATGGCGAAGGCGAGATATCCGTCTATCAATAAAAGGACGAGTATACTGCGCGGCAGTCCATTCTGTTTTAATTTACGGCAGCGAAACATGACCATTAAGAGTAGAAGATACTCGTAAGCTACTAGTATTTGACCACAGATGCCTAAGAAATATTGCTGGCGTCTGCTGGGATCACCGGGTAAGTAATAGTGAGGTTAGACACAGGGTATTAGGGAATGATGGTAAAACAGATGATGAGGTTGTGAATCTTCATCGACTGAGATGGTTGGGCCAAGTGTTACGTATGCCTGAACACCGATTACCACGACGTGCAATGCTATCCGGTATTGGAAATGGTTGGAAGAAAGTTAGGGGTGGCCAAACCAAAACGTTACATCAGTGCTTGAAGTCACTAACTTCTAGTCTGAGCCATGTTGGTAGATGCAGACTACTTGGTTGGGGTCCGCGCGACTATCATAACCAATGGTTGGAGACTCTTGGTGACATGGCTCAGAATCGATCACAATGGCGTAGGTGTATACACTCTCTATCTTCCCTTAAACTAAGAGATTAAAATCGCTTCATATCTTTCTTTCTATGAACTAATTTTTTCTTCCCGTACTATATCCTTATTGCAATCTTTCTTTTATATATTACCACTTTTGAATTAACTACTTTTATGAATCCGGTGTCCATCTTGTTGCGTTAATGAGGTATGGCAACTTGGACTGATGCATATATGTGCCTGGTCCTACGTTGTAGCTGACTGATTGACTGATGGAAAAGTCAAGAGAATACTGGGAGTTTTCATTGAAATTCTACGTAAAAATGTATTTTTATTACTGTACATCTCTTTTGTTCAGCTTCGTTTAAACATATCGTATCTCAAAACAATTCTTGTAGTGATTTGCGTTAAGCTGAGTGAAATGCATTGGTTAAAGAGTATTAGACAAGACGTAAAGTGTCAAGAAGCGCTTATAAAAAAGAAGTCAATATTTCAAGTCACCAGTCAGTGAGATAGACATTTTCCCACTCCATATTTTGATTCATGATATTGCGTGGTCGAAACGAGCCTTACTGAACAATCTATCCTGTCGTTGAAGCAGTCAGGAGAAAGTATCTAAGAATTATTTCATAATAATTTTAGACCTAACCGCCGGAGACGGATATCCATAGGATAAGGCGAGGTGTCCATTTTTAGGGTAGACCTTTTCTAGCCCCACCCCTCCTTGTGGAAAGCCAGCATCGCTGTTATGCTGGTTGTCTGAAGGAAACATCTTGCTGCCGTCACACCTCTGTACAGTCAGCAGTACGACTTCGCCCTCAGACCTTGGGTTTGCTGCTTTTAGTTTTACCGTTTTTCAACCGACATGTCTAGCATGGTAGGACCTTGAGGAACAATTGTTCCGCCAGTATAGCTTGATTGGTTCATCACGATAGACGAATCCGACCACCACGTCGAATCAAGATACATTAATTCAAGATGAAATAACCAACCTGGTTTTTATAAACAGATATTGTTTATGATATACAAAAGTGTCATATAACATTACCAGAATTATTATTTTTTTCTAATGACACATTTTTAGCACAGATACTCTTAAAACATAAACAGAAAAATTTTTTCAACTTACCAGTGTATCAGCCCTAGGGCCAGTATTCAATAGGCTACGTAGACTAGAATCTACACGAGCTTCAACTAAAGCACGACAATGTGCCCATGTTTGATCTGTCCATGAAGTTGGTAAAATTTGTGATAGAACATTTAAATTTCCTGATAATGTAGCATAAATAGCTCGTTCAAATGAACGTAATTTTATCTATATGTAAATAATAATGAGAAAAAAATCAATAAAATTTTCAATATGAGACAAAGAAAACTTTCTTCGAAATAAAGCTGGTTTTAACATCAAATAACATTTATAGGATATAAAGTGAAAAATAAATCGTCTTTAATGGTTGAATTCATGTCTCAATTCAAGCTAGACCAACATGGAAAATCTGGAAGCACTGGAAGGCCGTTTCGTCCTGGTATGGGACTCCTCAGTAGTGCGCATCCATAATCCCGCCTCGCGAGATTCGAACCCAGAACCTATCAGTCTCGCGCGCGAGCACTTAAACTCTAGACCACTGAGTCGGTATCCAACGGTGTTAATGTCTAACTTCAACCAATCCACGAAATTGAGCCGTAGCAGTTGATATGAATAATGTCAATATTCAAATAAGAACTTACATTCTCTGAATTCCACCAACATACAGATTTGTATAAAATTCTCGTTGGATTCCCTTCGATACTGAATTTCATTTGTAATGGTTTTGAATGAGTAAAATTTTCATCTCTATCTTTTAATGTTTGAAATTGAGTTGATTCACTTTCCACAAAACCAGAATAATGAAATGGTCGCCAACCTTCAAGTGAAATAGCACGCCAAAATTCACCACGTTGTGTACAAAGAAGTTGAGCCTTAAAAACAATAATAAATGAAGTCAAATGAATTTATTCAATGGAAGAGAATATTTTTTGTAATTCCAATCCGAGGTATACAAACTGAGCTTATAGAAGTCTGTAGAACTTCAGAAAAACTCAGTAAGTTCACGAAGTATTGGAAACTGTTTATTGAGATAACCCAGTGAAAACGGAATGCATTAAAGTATGAACCAAGAGTTCCAGGGTGGGAGTGGGGTTAAGAAGACTAAAAGAACAACAGTTGGTTTCCCGTGTTGTTGAAAATACTATACTCGGGAAATCTCTTGTGCATAAAATTGTCACTTTAATATCTGCATGATTACTGATAGAATAAATTTGTGAAGATTGTCAGTGCTTACGATCATAACAAAGCGTGAAACGACAAACCAATTAAAGAACCTAACTTTTGATAGCTTTCAAAGATATTTCGAACAATATATGCAGAAATCGGACATGTATTGCTAAAAATATGAGGTATTTCAAAGGAAATAGGAATGATCATTGAATAGTTGTTACACTTGACTATATCGTATCATTTTGCGTCATCGATTAATCAGTATACTACTCATTTTGTAGAAAATCTTATCATGAATATATCGTTATTTGTATACGGACACCTTCGAAACATTTCAAGCATGGGTTGGGACCACCTAGTGAGCAATAATGACAACAGACCTAGAGTACTAGGTAAGAACTCCAAGTCGATTGGTGAAGTAATGAATCTTAATCGATTGAGGTGGTTGGGACACATCCCGCACTCCCAACCACCACCTTGATGTCCAATGACAGCTTGTGTATGAGTAGGCTGAAAGAAAGCCAGGAGTGGTCAAACAAAAACTTGACACCATTCCATGAAGTCACTAACTGTCGGATTGGGCCGTGAACGTAGATGCAGATAATTTGGTTGACTTCCACATAATTACCGTAACCAATGATTATAAACTCTAAATGACATGACTTAGCATCGTTCGCACTGGGGCAGGTGTATTCACCATTCGTCTTTCCAGAAATACCAAGTTGCTTGATTATTTGAATTTTTATTTCATCAATTCAGATTTTCTTCTATGCTTGATCTTCCTTACTACCACTAATATTCCTAATAATTAAACTATTCAGACATCTTAATGTTGTTGTGATGTAGAAACTTGAGCTGGTGCGCATGACCATATGTAACACACATTTCAGCTGCCTCATTCAATAAACACTCACAGTTCCATCAATCCATCATGCATTTTTATAGAATACCCTAAATAAAAACAACACTACTTACTATACATGAACAATTCTTCAAAGGTATTTAGGGAAAAAACTTTTTAGCCTACACAAATTGAAGTAGAAATAATAGTAATGTGAAGAAATGAAAAAAAACAAATTTGTAATCCACTTACACGATGAAGATCTCCACCACGAAGACATAGGAATAAATAGTTTATAAATCGATCATTATCAATTTGATCTTTCTGATCTAATCCATTGCCTGTTAGGGTTACAGCATCCGGATGCTAATACACATAATGGGAATAAATTTGTAGGGAAGATTTAAAGTGAACTTGTCTACAAATAAAGAAAGCTAAACAATGTCAATTTGATTTAATTAAATAAGCTTGTGAAGATTTGCTTCACTTGGAGTTGGACTGATATTAGTTTCACTAATTTCTTTTTGTTTTTAGTGGAAGACTTCAACGTTACTTACTTATTTACGACTGTTACTCCTCGTGAAGGAGCATAGGCCGCTCACCAGCATTCTCCATCCAACCCTGTCCTGGGCAATCCTTTCCAGCCCTTTCCAGTTGTTATTCATCTTTTTCATATCTGCTTCTATTTCCCGACGTTATGTGTTCTATGGCCTTCCTCTTTTCCGCTTCCCTTCAGGATTCCAAGTAAGGGCTTGCCACGGGAATAACCATAATCACAAACGTATAAGATTGAGCTTGGGATTGACAGCTTACATGATGAGAAAAAAAATACTTTTAAACCTATTACTACTACTGAGTCTATATTCTTAATTTCAGTTAATCTGCATCATAACGTAATGAATATTCGCAATATTGACCAGTTAACTGAGCTTTTAACTTTCACACTTCAACTTCATGAAGCTTAAACATTGAAAAATGGGAATATGGTAATATGATTGAAGTAGAGGCCAAAATTTATTTACATGATAATACTAATAATATTAAAATTCTAGAAAACTCCTACACTACTTTTAAAACAAAATCACATACCAATTCTTTTACCAAACGATGTTTAGTAAGCTCCGCTTGTGAAAGATAACTCAATAAATGTGCCGTATTCTCCCTGTGAAATAAGAGCATAAATAAGAAATTAATCAAGTTGTATCACTCCCTAAGTATGAAAAGATCTCTGGATTAGTTGAGGTTAAACATTAACACCGTTTGGCTACCGGCTCAGCGGTCTAATGGTTAAGCACCCACGCACCAGAATAGTAGGTCCTGGGTTCGAGTCCCGATAGGTGGGATCGTGGATGCGCACTGCCGAGGAGTTCCACAGTAGGACGAGACGGCCGTCCAGTGCTTCCAGATTTTTCATGGTAGTCTAGCGTCAACTGACTCATGATCTCAACTACTAAAATTGCTATAATATCCACAAAACCCCTTCTGAAATTTATTCATCAAATATTCAATCTAAATAGCGCAAAAATAATTGCCATTTAGTGATTCCACAATACTAATATCAGTGTTCAGTTTTGGATTTGTCCAAATAAGTTTAGTAATACAAAAAGTATCACTAGCCTGAACACAAAGAAGATGTGAATTGGAGTCGAATATGCGAACCTGTAGTTACATTACATTTTAGTAACTTATTAAAAGGCAATATTTGGCGTGATTTCGAGATATTAATTATAAAGGACTTTAATAATAAAAATACCTTCTTGTTATATCCCAATAAGTAGGAAAATTGTATTTCTGACGACGTTTTGTGACTTAATGTAAGCCACTTCTTCAGAGTCAATAAATAACCGAAATAAAATTAACACAAATTTAAATAGTACAAAAGAAATAATATAGAATATATTTTGTATAATCAAAATAATACGTCTGAATATGTCAAGTTATTCTTGGTCAAAGTGAATTTGTAGCCCCCAAATGCCCTGGTATGGCCGAGTGGGGAGAGTTAGCTCTCCCTCTCCAAATACTTTTATACGGCCACGTGCATTCAACCATTGCCAAGAAAGTCCTACTCATTGCCTTCTCATGGCGAGGGTGTTGTTTACGAAATTAAGAGGACGAAAAGCAAATGTTCGGCGCTTTAACCGAGTTGGTGGACATGGAAAGCCCACCTAGGGGAGTTAGTTGGAAAACCCTGATTCCAAACCAATTGTGCACATGGGCTCCAATATCCTGAAGTAACAAATGGCGTATGAACATATTGTTGGCCACCGACTACCATGGAACTGCATCTCCTGACGCTGCTCCACTGTCTTGTGGATTAGACCTCTTGGTCAAAGACTCCGAGTGTAGCCCTCGGTCTGGGCACCCAAGCAGTATCACGGGCCCCACACAAATTGAATGATTTATGTGGCGCATATCTATTTGGTGCCTCATTGCATCAATGTTTATGTGTTTAAATAAATAAATAACCTGTCACTGTATTAATTTATGCTTCAAAAGGTGGGTATGAGAAATGCATAAAAATATTTATATTTGCGGTGAGACTCAAATCAATAGACTATAATAGTTAGTACACAGGTTATAGATTAAAATAATTAGATGAAGAATAACTGAATAAGTGTTCTTAGTAGTCACAGCAAACAATTCAATTGACAAGTTTCTGTGACAAAACTTCATATGTAAATGATATCGTGAAAGATAAACTAGTTCTTCCTATTTTGAAATTTTCCAGTAATAGCCATTAGAGCTTACAAGAGTTTAGGTTCGATAAAGAGCAAGTTATAGTGGAGTCAATTAGTTAGAATTCGCTTTTCACTTTAATTAATCTCATAATATTGATTTTCTAAACTGTAATCATTACTATTCTATTACTGACCTTTTAACGAAGATTACTAAGTGAGTTCTAGATGTTTTTTCCCATTGTTTACAGAAAAACAAGGATGTTAGTTTACAATTGACATTTCTACCAACAGACAAAAACTGAAGTATTAGGACCATTTAAATTTTCATCTGTTTGGTTGATATAACATTAATCGAGAAGTCTGGAACAGTGGGTCAATCAGAAATCGCAAAATGATCAACGCACATGGTTGACCAAGAAATGGCTTTTATTTTTAAAAGATGATACATAAACCACTGACATACTTAATCTCCTAAAGGATATAGATAAATGAGTACATACATGTACATACGATTCGATTTTACCAAATAAGCTTCCTTTCTTAATCTTCATCTTTTCTCTCAAGTAACCGATGTCGTACATAGAAAGCGTATATCAGCATCAACTCCCAAACACCGAGCATTACAAAAAAATGACTAAAAATGTGTCAATAAATGGCTGCATGATATCAGTATAATTCTTGGATAAGATGTTAGGTAAAGGATAGAAGTTAGTAACGGAGAAATTCTAATATTCATACTACAGTCAAAGTGGATAGTTGAAGGAAGATTAAGCCAAAATACCATTACTACAATGACATTAAACCACTACATTTGAAAGACTACATTAACAACAAAACGAAATATCGATGTTTAAAACATGCATACAAATAAAATATAATAGACTAGTGGTTACAACAGTCAACTTTCAATTAACAGCTCGTACATCCGAATCCTTCCGTCACCTAAATTGGTACAAACAGCTGAGTATGGTATCACTCACCCCGAAAAGCCGAGTATATAAACAGGTACAATGTGAGTTGCATGAATTAGAATAAAGGTTAAAAAAAATAAATTACCAAGTAGTTGTCTGATTGAATAAACATTCGTATTTCTCAGCAACTTCTTCGATCTGCTCACGAACTATTTGTTCTAACCAATCAATTAATATCTATAATGAAAATGAAAATTAAAGTGATATGACTTAATGAAACAACAATAAGAGATTGACAAAGATAATTTGAAACAAACGAATATCGCTTTAGATAACCATTTTAATCAACAGGTCAGTGGCTCATAAACACACTACAACAAATGTATTATAGATGAACTTCATTTAAACAAGCACATTTTCTGGTGAAAGTAAGCTTTATCATCAGTATTGATTAGCTAGATATTTCTAATGTTGATTTGTTAGCTCATAATATTAACAAGAGTGTTCACCTAAGTGCATTGTATAACAATTTTTAAGTTTCACATTATATTTGAGCTTCCCAATGGAATACAAGTATGGAGTCCTCTCATGGTTGAACATTGTTCCCGTATAGCTATGCTGATGATCTTACCGTATGCATGCCAGTTTCTTCCTCTGATGATTACTTGGAAATGAATAAGTTCGTAACACACATTGGCCAGTCTTACAGTTAAACTTTTTAAATACTAAACTGCTAACTTTAGCCCTAAAACACGAAAAGCAACTAAACACATTGAAAGGGACGTTTTATAACTCTTTTCACTGACAATTCTGTTGTAAAAACTACGCCAGAAGCCATTTATCTTTATGTAAGTTTTTCTTTCGACCTCTTTCGGTTTTCGCAAATTTCACGAATACCAAATAAAATTTTCCTATTAAACAGCCATGGAAAGAGGCTACATGTTTTTGACATCACTTAACTTTCACTTTGCAATTTGTAAATTCTTGCATATTATGTATTTTTCTACAGTGTTCCTCAATATTTCCTAGACTTAGGGAAAAGGCAAAGTCATGTTGCGTAGACACTCGAGAGATTTTAGTCCTGTTAATGGTGTACCATTTTGACATCATCATGAAAATGGCCATTTTAAATCTCGTAAACAACCGGGAAATGTAATTTTATCAAGTAAAAAGCATCCATGACATTCAAAACTTCATCTATTTTATCAACCGGAAAACCTAATCAGATACAAATTAAAGCCTGCCACAAAAGTGTTTTAACATGATGAGTCAAAATTAACATGAGTAGTAAGTGAATAGAAATAATGCAACGGTAATAATATTGAAAAAGACTAAACATTGAGAACATGGTTCGAAAAGAAAAAAAATGAGAGGGCATGCATGAAGAAACTGGAACTCAAGATCTAGGGGAAAAGAATAAATGTATCTCCAACATTATGACTGGATGTAACCTTAGTCGGCCAACACATCTGACTGATAAATGAATGTATTGCTAAGATCAGGTAGTCTGCATATATCTACATAGCTAAGATCGATAATGAATGACTTCATGAACTGATGCCATATTTTGGTTTGATCATTCCTAGTTTTCTTCTATTATACCAGATAACAACATGCAATTAGGCAGGGAGTGGTTATGCATATGTGATCCATGTTCCAACCATATCAGTCTATAAAGACTCACAACTTCATAAACTATATTCTTAACATTAACATTGTCTACCCGATTTTCTCACGCTACGCGAATAATGATTTTAAAACACGTATGACAATAAACCTACGGCCTATGCATGTCTTTTACCTCCATGGACCATGCTTTACAGCCATAGAGCAATATAGAGCATACTGCTGCACAGTAGCTACCCTTCAGTTGGCAGATGTGAATATTCTTTACATCACGAGTGATGTAATTCGGCAAAAGCTTAGCGAGCTTTCTAAACCTGAACCTAGATTTCGTCAGATATCAACCTATCAAGGGTGATGAGACTTCTGAGACAAGTCAAATAATCGATGCACTGGACTAATTCACTCCCTAACGTTAGTTCATTCGTTGATATGGAACAAGACAGAAGTATATCAGAGCCAATACTTCTAAACACAAATGTTAAATCGTTACAGTATCTAATTCAGGAAACATATTTTGAAGTGAAAAAGGTTATAAGCAGAACCGGAAGCTTTCATAGTTGAAGAAACGCAACTAGTAATCATTCTTGCAATTTTTTTATAAAAGATTTTCAGTCTTTATGATATGTATATTTTCTTGTATTTCTGAAATGTAAATGAAAATTGGAATTATCTTGCTGAAATATCTTATCCGGAAAATCCTCTATAGTACTGGACATGTAGTAAATAGATTAATGCTTTAAAAGGACTGATTGGCTGTACTTCTTAAGCAAGACAAATTAACTCTTGAGTTTGCCAGATAACGTATCAAGATTAATGCATTTCGACAGTGGACAAACTATTTAACATGAGTCAAAAACGTATCAATTGGATCTTTATTGTAGATAACTTATGTGCTATAAACCCTAGAGGGTTAAATCTCAATTAGAAACAAATACAGGTGGAAACGATTGTTTTTCATTATCCATTACCGATATTTCTAAGGATTTTGGCATCAGAACAACCAGAGATGTTTTCATGGCCCAACTGATTTGTTCTAATTATAGGATGTACAACGAATATTGCGATATTAATGACGAACTTGACCGTGCAGACCAAACACTTATGTGAACGATAAAGACTTATCGCAATAAGAAAATAATGAAAACGCTCTTGCCTACACTTGTGTATATCAAAAAAAAATGATTCTAGTCAGCAAGACCTTGAGGTCTTTATCACTAGATTAATACTCGTTTTCTCCCCACTAACATCTAAGATTGGTTCAGAATCCAAAAAAAACAAATGGTGTATGAACGTCATAAACACGAAGTTAACCAACACATTACAGAATAATTTAAATAAATTACTAACCTGAGCTTCACGAAGTTCATTATCTCTTTCGTATAGTAATCGAATTATTTCCCGTTCGGAGTGATTAAAATTCTAACAGATGATATATGCAATTCAAAATAGAAAAAACAGGTTAAAAAGGAATAAAACAACACTAAACTGCTTTATGAAAACTATAGATAATTAGTCTGGTTATGAAACACAAACAATGTATAGACTAAATCATGGACCGACTAAAAGTAGACTCGTACACTACTGGATGCCAGCTCAGTGGTCTAGAGGTTAAGCGTTCGCGTGGTAGACTAAAGGTCCTACGCTCGATTCCTGACCACGAAGTCGTTGATGAACACTCATGTAGAAACCCAGACTACGACGAAATAGTCGTCTAGTGTCCCCAAATTTCATTGGTTGCTCAATTTAGATCGCTCTGTGATCTCAATAAATCTAATCTCTTTTCAAGACAAAGATTATAAAACTATAAACACAATGAAAACAATCGATAAATCAAATTTCTTCTCCACTATGTTAGCGTAACTTATGAGGTGTTTCACACATGTTTTTGCAAGAACCTAGTTGAAAAGAAATAAATCTTTAAAAGACGTCGGTTATATATAATGTAGAAACTGGCATATAAGTGCATCAGTTTAAGTACACACACTCCCTTAGTACAGATTAAACAAATCCCAAAGAAGTAGAGGTTGCAACAGTATTAAATAAGACCATGCATCGAAGGTACGATTCGAGAAAAAATGTGAACTGGTGGAATAAAAACATTCATTGGGGAGGGGGAGTTAGGAGCTTGAAAACTAAGTGGAGACAAAGAGTAGATGCACCTGCATCATTGCGACCTATTTTAAGCTATGTCCTTCAAAGTCTCTAACGACTGGTTACAATGATCACATGGACTCCAACCAGATAGTTTGCATCCACCTACAGGGCTTAGTCTAACATTCGGTGTCACTATGAACTGTTGAAATGTCATGGTTTGATCGCCTCTGGCTTCCTCCAAACCTACTCCTACAACAGACAACATCGCCCGTCAAGGTAAGCAATGGTTGAGCATTCGTAACACACGTCCTAACCACCCCATTAGATGGGGGTTTACTATCTCATCACTCGATTTGCCATCCTTATCTAGTACCTCATTACTATCCCAGGCATCGCTTGTTAGAAGGTCCCAAAATACACGAGCAGTGCTTCCAAGACACCTATGGTCGAATACTAGTAGCCCATGAATATCTTCTATTCTTAATGGCCACGTTTCACAATCATAAATTATGACGGAGAGAACCGATGAGCAATAAACTCTCTTTTTAGTTGACAAACGTACATCTGACCTAGGCTATAAGTGATGCAAGTTGGTAGACGTCAATTGAGCCTCCTGAATCCGTGCTGAGATTATGTCAGACACCAACCCTTCGCGATAGTCAGACTTCTAAGATGAGTGAATTGATTGACACACTCAACTATTCCACTCCCTACCGTTAATTCAAGCGTTGATGCAGACCAGTCCTGAAACAAAATTTTGCACTTAGAGAGAAAGAAACTCATTCCAAGCACACTGGCATTATTGCTTAAAGTGGTCAGAAGACCTTATTTTGTCGTCTTTGCCAAACAGGACTACATCATCTGCATAATTTTAGTTGAGAAGACAGTAACCAATTCATCTATCACGCCCTAAGTCATATTTGTCAAACAACAGTCACTACCAAATAAAACGGAAATGTGTGTTTTGTATATGTGACCTAACGACTGAGTGGTAAATGCCACGCAGTCAAGCGGAAACACTATGAACAACAGTTAAACAGTTACTGTCATTAATAAACAGTCCTAAACCACATCATCCGTAACCGGTAAGTACAATTATACTTAAAATGACCAAAAAGATCAGATAACTTCATGCAGATTTAAATACCTCTCGACAATTCTTAGAGCCCTAAAGGAATGATTTGATAAACTAGACTATACATAAGAAAACACGAGACACATAAACATAAAATCCGTACAGATAAGTCATTTCCTTCAACCGTCCCGGTCCTAGATTCTGACTCAAAACGGTCCAAGTAAATACTTGAAATAAGATTCCATGTGTTCCTTTCAAGATTAATCATTTCTGTAATATTACGGACATTAGGCAATCTTGTAGAAAGGTGATTATATAAACTTGATTATTTTACCCTTTACGATGAGACATTTTGGTAAACATACTGGGTAATCTACGAGCAATCTTGTGGCATGCATTACCATACTGAATAGGGATCTCCGATAAAGCTGTTTGGGAATTTTTCCAAAGACTACAAAAATGAGGGAAAAGGCTTGATCCATCTAAAAACAATTTATTACGTAAAAGCAACATGAGTACTCGCAAAATACCGAACATCTCCGGATCCTCATCGAACAACTGAGTAACATTATTGCTTTTCTGGAAGTTATCTACCTAAAACAGCAACAAATTAATCGTTTACCATAAGATAACCCACCTCAGACCAAGAACTGATCAGGCCAACTCCAGTCATTTCACAGGACTACACGGTACCAATGACCAAGAAAAATTTTACACAAAGAGAAATCAACGTATCACATTGAATTAAATTATATTAAGGGCAATGAAAGATGAATACAAACAGAACTGAGCAATTAAGAAGACAATAAGAAATCCTCCCTATAAATATTTACATTGTTCTTATACTCTTGGAAAGTTACCCGAGCTCCCAAGTTTGGGGAAACTCCCAAAGTCAAATGACCTTGACCAAGGTTAAAGGGGAATTTCGGAGAAATATTGGGGGATTTCCCCAGGTCTGGGGAAATTTTGATGTTTTGTGCCATTTCCCCAAAACTTCCCCAAAGTTTACTGTGGCGGGAGATTGGGTAACATTACATAGGACAGTGTTAACATCACTTAGTTTAAATTCGAGACTAAAACTGAGTTATTAGCATACCATTAAACCTAGCGTGAGATATCGGTGAATAGTAACCAGAAAACTACTTATAATACAAGCGTAATCAATTGACTTCGACACTTAACGCGTTGTCCGTTGGCAGGTTTTGCCATATTTATATCCCATATTTGCTTTGGGCCTGTTGTTCAGGTGACTTACAATGTGTGGCTTTTCACAATAAGCCCTGAAGATGATGCATTTCATTCATAAACTTGTGCCGCATTGAAGTGAAACATACTTGAATATTCACAAGCAAGAAGCAATTCCAGCAACAAAAACACAAACGACATTATGGCTGTTTACAAATTTGAGGAGGCTTACTTGAACTTGAGAATATAAATATCACTCTAAACCAGAGCTTCCGTAATAGTTTTAAGGATCCTCACCACAATACGCATACGACCTTGATGTTTCAAATAGGAACGTAACTCTATATGGCTGCTTGATTTATACATAATTTGTGGGTAATTTTTAACATTATTACCAATTTTTTAATATTATTTCACGTAATTTTAGCAGTTATGATAAGCGACAATAAAATGTTGTGTAAATGAAAATACGGTTTTCTTGTACACTTTTTCCATGGTACTCGGAAAATGGTTTTCAGTTACACATTGAAAGGGATAGGATTCTAGGTGGCTCTTACTAGTTCTACTACTATTGGTCGCTCAGTTAATCCAAATTTTATTTTGGCTTTTCGAGAGATGGAGTTTCAACCACATGTTGATTTAACGAGTTATACCGATGAAAGTCGATAATCAACTGACGAGTAATTTGTTCTGGGGTTGTGAACTTTTCCGAAGTGTCTTCGTAAACCCAGTTTTGGAAGACAAGAAGAACGAAGATGTGTAAGAACTAAATTTACTATTTGGAGTTTGACAACGCTTTAATCAGTAACAGGCTTTATAATCAAAATGTGCCAACCCACTCAAATCAACAGTCAGACACGAAGAGGTCCTAAAATATATTTGATATATTAGGAATTGACCGACCTAAGCTTGCTAGCGGTCGTGGCAGATGTGAAGCACGGAGTAACCACTTGTGATCTGGTGCGAGTCCGTGACCGAGCACCTTCAGCTAAGTGAGTCCATTAGAACTGATACGGTCAGCATCAAATGTCGAAGACTTATGGAGCTATCGATTTCAGGGATTTATTCAACGCTACAGGTGATTTAAAAACTTTGATTATTTCGCTGCTAATCCTTCTATGTGATAAGGAATATAGGTTTTGTTTAGAAGATTTTCCGTCAAATGGCACAGATGGAGCCACAAATTGTGTGTTCAAAATCTTAGGCATATTGAATGATGGAATCAGAATCATTCATTAAAAAGAACTGAGGATTATTCAGAAATTTGTACATAACATCCATTGCACCTCACATTCCATGGACTATGCTAAGAATTCCGTAGAAGTACCCATCGTGGTTTACTAATGAAGTCCACTCTCTTATTCTTATGAGAAAAGGAATATGGGATTAATGTGTGTTGCTGACTATTGATGAGACAAAACCTCAGAGTTTGGAAGCCCAAAATGTTTGTTTTTCAACCTTCCGGTAGTCCATAATATCATAAAAACAAAGCTTGCTTGGTAGTCTGTAGGAGACACAAAGCGTTTATTTTCGTACATAAACCAGAGAACAAGGAAGATAGGGTATCATCCCGGCATTTTATGAAGATATTAGCACAACATCGGCTGTGAAAGCTTGTTCTGATAAAGCTCATGTATTCTCAATTTGAGAACTATTCATTTACGCTCGATAGAGAAACTCTGGAAGAGGTGGAAGCATTCACATATCTGGGTAGCATCATCGATGAACAAGGAGGGTCCGATGCAGACGTAAAGGCGAAGATTGGCAAAGCAAGAACATATAGAAGTCAAAACAACTGTCGACCAATATCAAAGTCACAATCTTCCACTATGGGAGAAAACAAAGTAGTTTTCAGCTGAGGTGGAAATTAGGTATGATGCTGAAAGTGGATAAAACACATTGAGAAAATCATCAAACTGCTTCACAAGTCAAGCGCTAACTTAGATTCCTCAAGGCAGGCAAAAAATAGGAAGGCCAGAGAACACATTGAGTCAGTAATTAGTAGCAGATATGAAAAGAATGAATATCAACTGTAAAGAACTGGAAAGGATTGTCCAGGACAGTGTTGGGTGTGTAGTGACTCACATTTATCACGAGAACACGACTGGTTTAATAAAAACAATTATTATTATAACCAACTGTACCAGTGCTTGTTTTAATGTGCTTTTGTTTGACTGTGCTAATGACAGCTATTTTGTGCTTCCATTCTTTTACTTACACTTTGATTGTAACTTCGCGCGAATTCGGTTACGTTCTGTAACCAAGCTTGTATCCTGGCACGATCTCGGTATCCTTTCGATACCACGAGATCGCCAGCAAATATATATCTTGACTTGGTCCATTAATTGTCTTCTGATATTTGGCTTCTCGGGGATTTTATGGGTTTCTTTGGTTACGTTCAACCTTCGCCTTCTGATTTATTTGGCACGTTTTTCTTGGTAGCAGTGTTCATAGTTAACCTCAACTCAACCCCACGCTACAGGTGTTGAATCCGGATAAGCAGCCTATGCTCCTCAATCAGGAGTAACAGTCGTGAATAAGTAAGTACTCCCAAATTACCTCAGTAAGGTTTAAACTCTAGCGATGCTTTTTACTTCGATTTACATAGATTCGTTTCGTCCATATTATGGACACTGTGATGTGTTGTTTGTGTGAACCAATGATTCCTTCGTACTTGATATCTTCCTGATTTTGAACTCCACATACAATTCATTCATTTGTGCTTACCTCTTTCTGTCTCCTTAGACTACGCTACTTCTGGGACTCTTATTCCGTATAATAGTCCAAATACTTCTAATCAGCACATGTAACCATTATAAAAAATAAAAACGACTGGTTCATCGAAGAGTTCTCTTTTCGGCAGATTCATTTTCAAAGCTTTACATGTAGTGTGGCGTCGAGTCGCGGTTGACTATGATCACCACTACAGGAAGACTATGTACCAGTTAACCGATAAGATCCCCCGTAAGCCAAATATCAGAAGGCAGTTGATGGTTGTAGTCGAGATGTATTCGTTGGCGATCTCGTGGTATCGAAAGAATCCCGAGATCGTGCCAAAGCAAATACAAGGGGAATCAATGGGAGAACGTGAGAGCGTACAAAGTCACAGTCAACGGAAGAATAATGGGGGATTAATGGGTGTCTTTATTACAGTTAAACAAACCAGCACAGCAAAACAATCACTGGTTCAATTGGTTATAATAATAATTGTTTCCATTAAACCAATCGCCTTCTCTTGACAAAAGTAGGTCACTACATATAGTCGCGAGTATGTATACCTATCTTTTCAGGATGATGATAACAATTACAATAATAATGATAGCAATATTCTGTTACACATGTTGAGAGTGAGGTATAATAAACAAAGGTATTAAACTATTTTTTAAACAGAGAAAATAATAATCGTTTGACTGTCAGTGGCTTAAATATTTATCAAAATATAGATCGGGAAATCATTATTGAGAAATGATGGCTCAGTCTGATGAGGTAAAATGTTTATATTGAGATTAAATGTAACGAGTAAGATCACAGAAACAGAAATAAATCAGTTGCGGGTAGAAGTTTGAAGATGAATTCGCTGAAAGGAAAACTCTTCGCTGAATCAACCTTTCTCCTCATAAAAAAGTTGATGTCATTGGTCTGTTGCACAAGCTTTATATATGTTAATCTATAGGACCAAACAAAATGCATTATATAGGTCGCTAAGACAAATAACAAATTTCATTGCAAGCCATTTAAGCACATATTTTAACCTCTGTTATTCAAGGTAGGAAGAGCGTGACAGTAAATCTTGCCCTCAAAACAGGCACCACACTTAGACCGTAGATCTATCGACTCATAAGCCTAGCTCACGTGGCTAGTAAAGTTCTAGAAGAGATTATTTGCAAGAAGCTGATTGTTTGTAATTATTACCAATGTCGTTATTGAATACCATAATATAGAATTCTAGGCAAAAACATTTCGCTATGTTTCTCTTAAATAAACAAAAGCGAAGAATTAAGAAAATAATAGCCGCATACTTATGCATATGAACCAAGTAAACAAACTATCTAGAACTAAGTGAAATGTCTTTTAGTAAAACAGTAATGTTTTCAACCATATTTATAATCACCTCGAAAGACTCGTTACACACTTTACTAACTACCTTCATCACTCTCTCAAATACGACAGTCTTTCTTCAAAAATCCAAGAAAGAGTGACGAGGGACATTAAAGAAAAATAGATAATATGCAAGAATTTACAAATCATAAAAGTAAATGTCGAGTAATGGTGAAAACATGTGGCTTCTTTACATAGTATGTCAGACGGAAAACTCTATTCGATACCCGTAAAACATGAGACCATAAGAGATCGGAGAAAAAATTACACTCCTGTAAACAATGTTAGACACCATTTTTATCACAAGACCTCAATAGTGTAAAGTTTGTAGGATTCCAACATAGTGTTTAAGTGCTATTCATATTGATATGTTGACATTTAGAATGTACCAATGTGACACTATTAACGATAAACTATTTTTCAATGAGAAGCAATATCTCACTGATTTCTACAACGTGTAAGGAGGTAGAAACCAGCATATATACAGTTAGATCATCTGTATATTGTGGAAGATGGCAGATCATGTAGAGAAAATGAGAAAACGAAAGTGGAAAGAAAAGCCTCTTATAGAGCACCATCTTGAATTAATAGAAATCTCATACACTTTTTTCCAAGTGAAGTTTTCTGTTCTACTTCAGAGCGGTTAGAACACACCCAGCCGTCGGTGTTGGTGCTGATCAAAGTTGTCTTGGAATGGAGTTATGAATTAAAGTGTGATCCAGCAAAGTGCATCGAACAAAATTTTCACTCTTTTCCAAGCTGAACACTGTATTATGGTGCAGCACAACAGCAGTATTTGAGGTACTTCGTTTGCGTTTGTAACCAAAGTGATATAGATCCATCTGCACTTATGTTGCAGGTAAGAGTAGGAGTAGCATTAATTTTTTCTTCGTTAGAGGAAAGGTGAAGTTATTGACACTGTTCTGAATTTCGCATTTTCATCGCAAGATAATTTCCAAGATATCTTTTTCCATATTTCCGTCATGAGATTAGTTGGTTGGTTAATGATGCTCACGAACGGATAACACGGAATATCAACATGCTTCTCAGAAAGAGGTTTGAAATTTCATCAGATCCCAAACACTAGGACGAGTTAATTGACTAGAAACATTTTCGGACATCAGTTTCAATGGAAATCGGAACTCAACTATCCTTCAAACATATGGATATAGGAAGCATGTCATTTGATGACTGAGATATAAAAGACTTATTTAATTCACAAACATTCGGCCGGTTATCGGCTCTGATGTCATTTAAATAGTTCCCGCTTACTTGAAGAGTTTTTGTAAGACTGGTGTTTCTGAGTACACATTCATTTCAGCAGTCTGATTTCCAGGTTTAGCCTTCGAACTTCAATGGAATTTTCCTATTTGTACATTATTTCCTTCATCCTCCATAATCGTTTCAGAAGTGGAAATGTAAGTCAATTAAAACATGCGAAAATGGTTTAGTTGGACAACAAGCATCAAAACTGAATTTAAAATGATAATTGATAATATCTACGACATGTTTCAGTCAATCATCTGTAAACACTCCCCAGTTAGTTGTATGAAACGTGTTTTTCAGATTTGGGAAATTTTCTCCTGACTCATTCTTGTATTTGACTTTCTTTAACTGACATAAGATGAGAGATTTCACAGGTAACCGGGGTTTGACAACATCTTTACACGTAACACCTTTATTATCGAAGTATACCAACACAGTCAAGTCAGAAGTCAGAAATGAAGAGGCTAGAATAAATATTTGGAAGGCTATTGATATATAGTGAAGCGTTGAATCTGGGCTGGCAGTTGCCGATAAATGCTTTCAAGTGTATTATGATGCATATTGACTACCAGGGTAAAGACACATACACGGTAAATAACAATGAACTACCTGTTACCCAAACACGCATTGACCTAGGAGTCATCGTTGACCAAAACTTAAAAACTGCCCCACACGGCCGTAAGATAGCTTTCAAATGTTCTAGAACCCTATGGCTAGTACGTAGATAATCTAGCTCTGCCGATACTGAAACTTTTTTGACTTTTCATACAGTATTGTGATTATTGACCCAAATTGCCTTGATTGGTTTGAAATCTTCGTGTAAATATTCATGTATATTAGAGTAAGGCCTGATGACAATCTAACTGAAAACAATTGTTTGCTTACATGTGTTGTTCTAATACAGTATTCATCCTAAACTGGAGTATTCCATACAAGCGCCTAGACCCTGCCTAAAAAGAGACAATGAGCTGTTGGAAAGGGTTCAGAGAACCACAGCTAAGGTGGTTCTCAGAATCGCAAAACGTCTGTATTATGACAAACTGATTAAACCAAATTTACTTCCCCTGTCACATGAAAGAATCGGTAACTTGAACACAGATTTAAAACTACTCAGTAATGAATTCGAATCTGATATGCCCTCATTTCGATTGTCTTTCAAGAAACGGAATTTACGAGCATGATCTAAAAAGGTTTACGAGTTCAGGAAAAACTACTTGACATCTGACTGTTGACTTTCACATCAAATCACCAACAGGAGGAAATCCTCACTTCACGATATTGTTGAAGCTTCAGTCTTCAGTAATAAGGATAGTAGGTTGGTGAACCTGTATTAGTCCTAACACATTACTTTCCAGTGAAGGCCCAGCTTCTCCTTGAACATATTCACTGATGGGGCTGATACCACTTATTCGGGTAGGGCGTTCCAATCATTGACTACTCGATGAGAAAAACAGGACCCCACTTTAAGTTTATTAGATCGTGGTTTATGAACCTTCTTGCTATGACCTCGGAGATTATTAGTGCTGGAGGAAGCAGGAAGGTAAGACCCAAATCGTAATTAAAGATACTAAATGCCAGTATAAGGTCACCTCGTATCCCACGACACGACAAGGGGAAAAGGTTTAGGCGTTTTAAACGCTCATCGTAAGGTAGTTTGGAAAGACCCTTCACTAATTTTGTTCCCACAGGCTGTACACGCTCAAGGGAGTTAATATCCATTACCAGACACGGGATAGCTGCTTGGATGCAATACTCTTAGTGTGGTATTACATATATGGGGTATAAAATTCGAAACGTTTTCTCGTCAAAAGATTTGAACGCTCGGCGAAGTGACCATAACGCGGCTGCTTTGCAATGCTACATCTGTAGACTCTTTCAAAAGAAATTTGGACTAGATGAGTGATCAGCAGCTCTAGGACTAATATAACTAATCCCACCTACTGTCTTCCCGAAAACCGAAACTGAAACTGAACTCGATTCCAAGTTTGTCCATTGTCATGGTGTGTAAGGCAGTTTAACACCGGCCTATTTGGTCTTCAAGGTCATGTTCGATCTAGGATCTTACCGTCCTAACCATGACCCACCAGCCGGGATGGAGCCATATGATCTTCCCAGAGAAGGAGATTTAGGAGCCCTCAGTAATGCTCAACAGGGAGCAACAAATAAGCTCAAAGTTAGAGTCAATTAGTCCTATATTTCTTAACAGGCCCAAACTCGGTTAAATAATGAGCATTATTTACGAAAACATCCAGAAATAAAATACATGATAACTGCATTTCTGAGGTAAAAGCATTCTTTTATTGTACGATGTATTGTAGAGATATTTTAACAAAACAGCCTGAAGATGCTAGAGAACATTTTGTTGGTAAGTTACATCTTAAGCTACATCTTCAGATTTTTTTACTAGTCCAAATCTTGAGTCGAATATAGAAAATATCAAGAAAGAATTCACAGATCAGTATCATGACGACCAAGTTATACGCTCTGTGGCCCAAGAAAAACAGCAACCAGAAATATAATTTATGTTTTATTTAACTTTGGAGAAAAAACTGGGTGCATGTAGTCTGTAAATTGTTAAACAAATCGATGAGTTTTGCTTCATTTACTTCTCCACTTCAGATTTTTGTTCACAAACATTTATCTATCTTTTCAGTCGCTTGTAAAGATAATTTGAATCATTCGATCCTTATTTCCTGTACAGTTTATTTGGTAGCAGTGGTGGCACTTCCAAGTTTATGGCGTTATTTGAAAGTATTGAAGAGCACATAAGTTTTCTGGTGGTTGGTCACTGTTGCGTCTTAAATGTTGTTGAACTACAATAAAACCGTCAGATTATGTTAAAGTTTGACTTGACTTTTAGTTTAAACAAGCCAATTAATGCAGATGTGCTACTATACCGTCTTTGGCATTGTGAAAGGGTTTGAAGGTGTCTAGTTACTGATTTTTGTGATATTATATTTTCCACAGTATTATTCTTTAGCCAGAAGTAACCTTTTAATGAGACCTAATTATTCGACTTTACAGCGAATAAAATACATCTAGAACACCTAATTGAAATTCAGTCGTCAAAATCTAATCAATTCGTAACATATTGTTGATCAATAGAATCACCATATGGGTAATTATCTCACTCTTGACTCGCAATTTGAACTGTACTAATTATGTCTTACTAGAATTCATTGAATTCATCTAAAGGTTAGTTATACTAGTAAGTACTTAGGTGTTGTTTCTGTCACGATGTCAAAAAATATCGATGGTATTATTTATGTATATATGTTTTAGAAAGTTCATATTATACACATTTACATAATGTTAACTGACTTCATAAATATACCAAAACTCAATGTCACTGTCCGTCTTTGTTTATAACCTTGTTGGGGAAGGTTAATGGAAATGAAATGACATAAAGTAAGTATTCTGTACTAGTAAATGTTCGATAGCTTCTTAAGGCAATTAGGAAATGTTTTGAGTTCTTCTGGTCGTTCAAAAGTAGAATAATAGGTTTTGGCAAATTACGATTACATTATGGTCTTATCAAGGTTGAAAACGTATGAACTATTTGATTGTGACGTGGTGGATTGAATTATATGCTTCACCAAAGCTGAATTCAATTTTCTGTGAGATAAATGTGTACTACTGGGGATTATGAAGCTGATTCCAGTTCGTACTAAAGGAATCAACTCTTACTCTATCATCCTACATACCAACTAAATGAATAAAAAACTGGTTTGTTTAGTGAATAATCAATTCATTTATTTTTGCACATCGTTTCAATGGTGTGAGTTGTATATATCTCACCAAATTTTACTTCAGTAAAGTAGAGGAAATTGGGGATTTCATCTATGACTTATTGCACTTTTGAACAATTCGAAACATAGTTCGATTAAGCGTTTACATTTCTCACAGTACAGCAACTAATAGTATCAGTTATATCTAACCTATCAAGACTTTTAATACCGTTGTAGTCTACCACATAAAAAACTTTTCTTGATAATCATATAAACAGGAACTGGATCGATAGTGCTCATATTTTCGGTTCTATTACTAACATAAAGTGACGAAGAACAACAAAGCACGAAGGAATAACTTTTGAGATTTTTAAGAATGGTGGTCTCGCCTTATCAGTTAGATTGATTGAGATCTTAGCAAAAATCTGGGAGTTAGACTGAATCGCACTTGACTGGTCTCAACCTTTGGTCATCTTAGTCTATAAAAGGGACAACATTGCCCTTATGACAGTCACAGAGAAATCAGTAACTATTATGGTATCTAAAATATTAGGTTCATTAACGCTTCGACATCTAACCAGCAAATCCGAGAAAACAAAGGTTATTTCAGAAATTAACCTGGACTTATAGATCAAATATTCACCCCTCGGCAGACTCTGGAATATAGACTTTTTGACATCCGGCTATAGTTGTATTCCCTGACCTTAAAATGGCATTTGACTTCGTTGGTTGTGGGGTTCTGCGACTGTCTGGCATTATAAACCAAATCAAAAAATTACATTCACCTTGTAGAGGCTCTCTACTCGTACACTAATTGACGAGCCAGAGCTTATGAGGAACCGTGATCTGAATTCGTTACGTCAAGGTTGTCCGCTTCCTCCATTTCTATTTAACTTTGTTATAGATATAGTTTAGAGATGACACCATCGTTTATATTCTCAGTGTTTGATCTCTTACCAGGAAAACCGCTTGTTGACCTAGAATATTCAGATGATGTAGTCCTGTTTGGCAAAGACGACAAAATAAGGTCTTCTGACCACTTTAAGCAATAATACCAGTGTGCTTGGAATGTGTTTCTTTCTCTCTAAGTGCAAAATTTTGTTTCAGGACTGGTCTGCATCAACGCTTGAATTAACGGTAGGGAGTGGAATAGTTGAGTGTGTCAATCAATTCACTCATCTTAGAAGTCTGACTATCGCGAAGGGTTGGTGTCTGACATAATCTCAGCACGGATTCAGGAGGCTCAATTGACGTCTACCAACTTGCATCATTTATAGCCTAGGTCAGATGTACGTTTGTCAACTAAAAAGAGAGTTTATTGCTCATCGGTTCTCTCCGTCATAATTTATGATTGTGAAACGTGGCCATTAAGAATAGAAGATATTCATGGGCTACTAGTATTCGACCATGGGTGTCTTGGAAGCACTGCTCGTGTATTTTGGGACCTTCTAACAAGCGATGCCTGGGATAGTAATGAGGTACTAGATAAGGATGGCAAATCGAGTGATGAGATAGTAAACCCCCATCTAATGGGGTGGTTAGGATTTATTATTATTTTATTTATTTGAACACATGAATGTTGGTATAAGAGAGCGCCAATATATATGCGCCATACAAAACAATAAGAATTCGAAGAGAAGTAGAAAAAAAAACCAAGGAGCGCAAAAGAAAAAGAGAACAATGACGAAGAGATTGGAGTAAGGTAGTGTGGTAGTAACGATTGAACGAAAAGGTACAATCAGAAGAAATCTTTCAGGTAAAGGAGACACAACCACTTTTTATGAAGAAAGTAAAAGAAGGTTACAGCACGATCGCCACTGGCTTCTATTCTGAGCCATATCTGATAACGTCTCTAGCCACTGTGTAGCACCATCTCTCAGACCCCAATCAGGGAGTCGTGAAGGACCAACAGAAGCCAGTCCTTTGCAGCTTTCTTTCATAACACGACACCATGTCATGCACTGACCACCTCTCCGCTTCTTCCAACCAGTCCCAGAGTCGGCAAATAATGCACGACGTGGAATTCTCTGGGACGACATTCGGAGAACATGTCCAAGCCACCGAAGTCGGTGTTTCAAGATGGTGACACCAATTGAATTATCATCTCTGTGCCCGAACACACGATGCCGAACCTCTGCATTACTGACATAGTGTTGCCACTGAATGTCAGCAATCCTTCGGAGACAGCGATGATCGAACACAGAGAGTCGTCTAACGTCCTCAACTCAGAGAGGCCAGGTTTCACAAGCATAGAGCAAAACTGCTCTCACCGACGCGTTGTAGATCCGGCCTTTTACAGCCAGACTAACATCACGAAGGCGCCAAAGGTGGCCCAGATTGGCATAAGCCGCTCTGGCTTTCACTATACGTGCATTGATCTCGTCGCTCACACCCCCACCAGCACTTATGCAGCTACCCAGATACACGAACTTCTCGACTACGTCTATCTGCTCACCATCCAGGGTGAGTACAGGATTGGAATCCTGCCAGTCTTGTAGAAGTACTTTGCACTTCAAAGGTGCAAAGCACATACCATACCTACGGACACTGATTGCCAACTGATTAAGTGCGGATTGCATGCCTTGGGCATTATCGCACAGTAAGACAATATCGTCCGCATACTCAAGGTCGAGAAGTCTTTCTCCAGGCAACAGATCCACACCACCATTACTTACATTCATCAGAGCTGTTTCCAGAATGTCATCGATGGCAAAGTTGAAGAGGAATGGTGAGATTGGGCAACCCTGCCTAACCCCACTGCTCGAATGGAACAATGGAGAGAGGTGGTTGTATGCCCTCACTCTGCCTGAGGTGTTTTTATATAGGGCTTTCAGGATGTTAATAAACTTCTCAGACACACCCTTCTTCAATAGACAATCCCAGAGAACAGTTCTGTCCAATGAATCGAAGGCAGCCCTGATGTCAAGAAACACTACGATTGTTGGCCTTTGATAAGTATGGCGGTGTTCCAACATTTGACGGAGGGTGAAGATATGATCAATATATCCTCGACCAGAACGGAAACCAACCTGCTCCTCGCGAGTCAATGTTTCTCGGGTTTAGAACAACTTACGAAGTATGACAGAAGCCAACAGTTTTGAAGGAACTGGAAGTAGACTATCCCCCAATAAAATTTAAAGAGACGATGTGAACCCTTTTTAAAAATAAGGACAATTATCGACTCATTCCATGACGTTGGCACACTCTCTAGTTCCCAAACCTTTGTAAACAACGTCGTCAATTCCTTAGTCAAAAAGTCATCACCATCTTTAAAAAGAGCCGGAGGTAAGTCATCTGGGCCAGGTGATTTGTAACGTTTCAAGGGTTGGAGTTCCTTGCGGACTTCCTCCTCATTTGGTGGATCAGTCGTCACCGGCCCATGGAGGGCAGGACAGTCTGACCGATGTTGCCGGAGCAGCAGGCCAGTTGAACTGCCCTTCGAAAAATTCTGCCCATCGTCCAAGACGTCGATGGATGTTAGTGATTGGCATCCCGTCATCCTCGCAGATTGTTTCACTCACACCAGACTTCTTGCTGCCAGTGGCTCGGATGAGTTGGAAGAGCTTCCGGCAGTTACCAGATGCAGCTGCTGCTTCCAGCTCATTAGCACGCATCGACCACCGGGCTTCTCGGTCCTTATGCAAGCTTTGCCCAATTTCCTTACGTAACATCCTTCGTTTATGGTCAAACTCACGGTCACCC